TGTGGTAGTAGATCTTCTTTAAGTCTAGACCAACGTAGACTGATATCTGTGAGGCTCCTGAGTGAAGCAAACCAACTTGGTACAGTTTCTAGTTTGCCGCTCAAAAGAAGCCTTTGAAGGTGTGGCAGAGGACCTGGAAGAGAAGCAAGTGCATCGATTCGAAGAAATTCCTCTTCACTTGTTACCAATAAATACAGGTAGCGAAGGAGCTTCATCTTTTGAATGGAAGCACAAAGGTTCATCTCATTACTTCCTTTTACATTTGTAATGCCAATGTGAGTAAGTTGGGTCATGTTCCCAACAAGTTTTAAAAAGTTTCCTTCTGAGTCTGATTCAACAAATGACAAAACTTGCAATTTTTTCAACATACAAATATTTGATGGTGCTCTAATCTCTTTAGCATATCTAAATTCCCAAGATGCTCCACTATATCGATACATAATTAGATGGCGTAGGTTTACCAACTTGGCAATTTCTTTCGGAAGTGTTTCAATCTCTGTGTTGCTGATGTCTAAGTTTGAAGATTGCAAAGCTGTCCTATGGATTCTGGAAGTTTTTTAATTGAAGTTCTACTCAAACTTAAATATCTTAAGTTGAATAAGTACATAAGACCATCAGGCAGTTCTTCAATTGGTACATCCTCCAAATCTAGAATCCTCAACAATTTGAATTGAGAAAGCAATGTACTTGAAATAGACGGCGAGAATACACCAGTGACAAACACATGAAATGAACGAAGCTGCGACATACCTTTCCATACTTTAATTTCTCCTTCAGATGTTTGAATTGACAAACAACGAGCTCTGATTTCTTCCATCACTTCTCACCCATCATAGGCAACACAAAACTTTTCTTTTTCTAATGTGGACAAAGCAAGCTCCCGCATAAGATCGTGCATCTTGCATGCTTGTCTTATAGTTGGACACCTTACAACATGCAACATGCTACGAAAATTGAGTTCCATAAGATAGCTCTCAGAAACTTCTTCCAGTGTGACCCCTTTAACATGTTCAACGAAGCCTTCAGCTATCCACAATCTAATAAGCCTTTCTGCTCGAATCAAATAATCTTCTGGGAAAATTGAACAATATAGGAAGCAATGTTTCAGTCGATATGGCAAATCGTTGAAACTGAGAAACAAGATTGTCTTCACAGGTTCTAGGAAATGATCATTTATTAGATGCCAATTTATGCTGTTGCAGACTTTTCTCCACTCCGTAGATGACTCCTTGGAAGACATAAGACCACCTAAAGCTACGATTGCTAGGGGTAGGCCTTTACATTTCCCCAAAAGTTCCCAAGCTAATGATTCAAGCTCTGGTGGACAACGTTTATTATGGTAAGTTGAGAAGGGTATGTCTTCTTTTTGAGTAGTGAGCATAATTCGACTTCCAAGCTGTCTATTTGGAAGTGCTATCCTCATTTCTTTCAAACGTTTTATATCCCACACGTCATCCAATACAACTAGGTACCTTCTAGACTCCAAGTAGGTTACGAGCATGTGTAGCAACTCCCTATAGCTCATGGAATTTAAGTCTGCAGCTGCAGGGACCTCTTCCTTCGTTGCTTGGTGGACTTCCTTGATCAAGCTTCTATACAAATCTTCAATCACATAACTTTGGTAAACCGTAATCCAAGCATAACAGCTGAAATGTCTCTTCACACTTTCACTGGTGAAGGTTTTTGCAACTAGAGTTGTCTTCCCTGATCCTCCCATCCCTACCACAGAGATAACTGCTTGTTGTTGCTCTCCGCTCATTAGCCATCCCATCAATATTTGCTTCTTGTCTTCAATCCCCACTAGTTCGTCTTCCTTAATAAAAAGGGAAGACTCTGCTTGGTTTTTCACCCATTTTTGAATGTCATTTGAACTTGTTCCTTCTAGGGGATCAATATCTTATCTTTGATTCCTCTCTGTATTGTCTTTTATGGTTTTTGTGATTTTCTATAACTTTTTGCCAATTTGACGCCTATACCAGAAGGTTTTTGCAACTAGAGTTGTCTTCCCTGATCCTCCCATCCCGACCACAGAGATAACCGCTTGTTGTTGCTCTCCGTTCATCAGCCATCCCATCAATATTTGCTTCTTGTCTTCAATCCCAACAAGTTCGTCTTCCTTAATAAAAAGGGAAGACTCTGCTTGGTTTTTCACCCATTTTTGAATGTCATCTGAACTTGCTCCTTCTAGGGGATCAATATCGTATCTTTGATTCCTCTCTGTAATGTCTTTGATGGTTTTTGTGATTTTCTGTAACTTTTTGCCAATTTGACGCCTATACCAAAGTTTCTTTGGAATGCGAAAGGCTTTGTGGAGGCAGCTTGCAAATCGACCCCTATACTTCGGAATGTGAATGGTTTTGTGGAGCCACCTTGTAAATTGACTCCTATACCAAAGATACTTTGGGTTGTGTCTGGTTTTGTGGAGCCACCTTGCAAATCGATCTGTTCCAATGGTTTGGAAAGCGAATGGTTTTGTGGAGCAAGCTTGCAAATCTACAATGATATTATCAATGATATGTGGTACAG